TTTTATTTATTTTTTTATTTTTTCCCCCAAAGCCCCAGCAGATAGTTGTATGTCATAGCTGCACATCCTTCTAGTTGCTGTATGTGGGACGCGGCCTCAGCATGGCCGGAGAAGCGGTGTGTCGGTGCACACCCGGGATCCGAACCCGGGCCGCCAGCAGCGGAGCGCGTGCACTTAACCGCTAAGCCACCGGGCCGGCCCAATTGTTCATCAATTTAACTAGCCTTTCCATTGTTCATCAATTTAACTAGCCTTTGTTTGCTGTGTGCCACATACTGTGTGGCAATACTGTGATGAATACAAGGTGGAAAGACATGGTTTGTGACTAAAGGAAGCTCATAGTCTAGGGGCAAAGGAATGAAGCTAAAATTTCTTCTTAAGACAGACAGACGAGCAGGCCTAAAGACAAATGTGTAAACAAATGTGATTGAAATATATAAAACAAAGTGATAATGGTTTATACTACTAGTGCGAATCAAATGTTACGCTTGTAGAGGAGGGGAAATCAGGGAATCCTTCTAAGAGGGGGATGAAAATGGGTCTGAAAAGTCAGATGGATTATAAACTATAAATCAGAGTTTTCCAGATGGAGAAGGGGGAGGTGAAGAAATTTGAGAAGGCAGAACAGCGTATGCAAAGGCAGGAGGGAATAAAGAACATGACATGTATAGAGCACTAGTCTGGGTGTAGCTGGAACGTACCGTGCACGGGCTGTCGTGTGAAAAGTGGCCAGGAAGGTAAGTCAGGGCAGGACTATAAAGAACCTTGCAAATCACACCAAGGATCTTGGACTTTAGATGGAAGATATTAGATTCCAGTGAAGGTTTTTAAGCAAGAGAGACATGATGAGAGTTTTATTTTAGAAAGATCATTCAGTGGACAATGAGAAGGAGAAACAGGAGGTGAAAGAATCTGGAGGCAGGAGACTAGTTTGGAGACTTAAGAGTCTGGGTGTTAGATGATGAGCTAAAAATAATAAGTGATAAATATTGTTAGTAGCTAAAAATAGCTAGTGTCTATCAAGCATGTCCCATGTTCCTGGCACCAAGGTAAAGGCAGTAAGGATGGAGGAGAGGGAGTGGTCACTAGCTATGACATTTCTAAGATTGGGCAACTAGGTAGCAACCACTTCATGGGCTAAACATTGCAAACTGACCACTCGTCTCTCCTGAAAACCCACTGAGAAGACAGAAATGGAATTAAATAGGCATAAACCCACAAACACAAGGAGAATGAGAGAAGGGATAAAAATAAGTCTCAGAAGATGGAAAGGTGACAGAGGAGTGGTAACAGACTGAGCAGAGCACAGGAGGATGAACTCCAGGGCCTACAGAGAGGGTGCTGGCAAGAAGCAGACCAATGTACCCTGGCAGACCCCAGCAAGTTCCGGACCAGGAAGTACCACGCCCCTGGGCAGTGGTAAGGTGCAGGGGGTTGGTTGCAAGATGGTATATGAAACAGCTGGACACCAAGATCCTTTCCTCTGCTCATGCAGGTAAGTAACATCTCCTCCTTTGTCTGACTCCCTCCCCAAGGGGGGTTTCCTGTGAAGAAATCAAACCAGAGAGAGCCTGGACTTGGGACACAGGCACAGCAAAGAGTAGGGGAATGGAGCTGGAAACTGGAGAATTAAATGAGAGTCTATATCCTAAACAGCGCGATGCCCCCAACTCTATTATCTCACTCTGCTCCCTGAATGCAAACAGCCGTCTGGGTGACCCCCAGGTAAGAAAATAAAGGATTCTTCTCTGGAAGAACTGAAGACCCCCAGAGGAAAACCTCTAGATAGTCACATTTGGGGGTCCTCTCATGAAAAAGCTAGCTTACTCCCTAATCATTCTACAGTGAGGTGCCCCCCTTAACAAGTCCTGCCCAGTGCACAGGTCTTCTAAACAGCTTTGTAGTACTTCACTGCTGAGTATGAAAAGAAATCAAAAGACCAACAGACATTTCAGTAAAGACTCCAATATAAAAGAGAGAGAGTGAGACCAAGCCAAAGGGAAAAGAATTCAAAGACCACAGGACAGTAAAAGGAGCAGAAAAAGAATTTAAAGGGAGAATAAGTAATATTACCAGAGAGATAAGATAAGGCATTGTACTCATAAAACAAGAATGAGATGATGTTCAAATTAAAAAAAAAAAAAAAAAAGGGATAAGGACAAATCAGGTTACACCAAGAGCTCTCAGAAATTAAAAACAGGATAATTGTGGCATAGAGTGATTGTTGCTATCCAATCTCTCCTTCTTTCTTAGGGAAAAAACACACACACACACAAATTGTGTGTGTGTGTGTGTGTGAGGAAGATCAGCCCTGAGCTAACATCCATGCTAATCCTCCTCTTTTTGCTGAGGAAGACCGGCTCTGAGCTAACATCTATTGCCAATTCCCCTCCTTTTTTTTCCCCAAAGCCCCAGCAGATAGTTGTATGTCATAGTTGCACATCCTTTTAGTTGCTGTATGTGGGATGCGGCCTCAGCATGGCCAGAGAAGCGGTGCGTCGGTGCGCGCCCAGGATCTGAACCTGGGCTGCCAGCAGTGGAGCGCACGCACTTAACCGCTAAACCACGGGGCTGGCCCCACACACACAATTTCATGTGAAGCAGCAATGTGACCAACTAAAAAGACATTTCCCAGACTCCTCTCTGAGAATAGCAGGAAAGGCGAGCGAATCAAGTTCAGGTTATGCAGCTAGGGACAACACTCAAAATTACATGTCAGAGCAGTCTAGTGGGTATACCACTGCTGCAGGCACCAAGGTCTAGACACTGCAGCCTGCCCACTGACCCTGAAAGCCCTGGACTCTGTAGCCAGGAATGTAGTTGTCCTGCAGCTACCATCATGCTTCCAGAAAATTCCTCAAAGTTCCCATTTCTTCAGGTTTCCAGTTCCCTGTTCCAAGTATAAGGAGGGCTCATCTGATTAGCTGAGCCTTGGTCTCATGCCAGAACTCTGGCTGCAAAAGAGGCTGGAAAACTGAGTACCTGACATTTTCAGCTTTGAGTGTGAAAGGCTTGCTTTGCTTCCCACCAAGACTCATAACATTGGAAATTCTTCAAACATAGGGAGGTCATTCAATGCTGTGTAAGCAAAAAAAAAAGACAAAAGTCTACTATAATATTGTATCCAAGAAATCTCTTGTTCCCTGAATTCGACACAGAAGTGTGATAAAGAGAGGAAGTCCAAAATGACAGCTTTGTAGCAGGCCTAGAGAACAGACAGTCTAGAGTGGAACATATGAGAGCCACAGGACAGAGGGAAAAACAGAAATGAACATGACAGATTTCTGAAGAATTCAAGTATTTGGAAAATAACGTTGAGAGGTGTTTGACATGTCTGCCAGAGCATTTAGAGAAAAATGACAGAAAACCAAGCAAATAAAAAACCAAGGCAATTATTAACTCTAGGAAACAGAAAAAGTTGGACAAAAAACAAATGTAATCATATCATAATATATGGCTCAGAGTTAAGCAATATTTACTTAATCACAATGATATGAATACTAGCTATTAAGTTAATAAAAAATTGCAATATAACTATACTGGGGACATTGGATGAGAAGTCAGAGTGGTATAAATGAGTTAAATCTTCATTTACCATAATAGGAAGTCAAAAGATGGTATCTGAAACTGACATATCAAGAAGTAGCAATACAGGGCCAGCCCCATTGGCCTAGTGGTTAAGTTCTGCATGCTCTGCTTTAGCGGCCGAGCTTCGGTTCCCAGGCGCAGAACTACGCCACTCATCTGTCAGTGGCCATGATGTCATGGCAGCTCACATATAAAAAGAGGAAGATTGGCAATGGATGTTAGCTCAGGGCGAATCTTCCTTAGCAAAAAATAAAAAATAAACAAGTAGCAATACAAATATATTATTTAGTAACATGAAGGTTAACAGAAAAAGAAACTTTTTGGTTGAAAGTGGGATTTTCTGGGAGTGGGACTAGGGGGTGGAGAAGGGTAAAAGAGATAGTATAGAAGAATGGGAATTACTATTTCTCATTATATGACTTTTAAATCCATTTGGCTTATTAAAATGTACACTTATTACTTTGATAGAAATAAAATAATTTTTAAAATTTTAATAATGCTCCTACCATTAAAAACTTCCCACCAACTTGGAAATAAAGAAGTAAGAGCAGGTGTATGGGAGAACATAAAGCATTTGTTTTTAGACATCTCCTTCTATATCCCTCTGTCTCCTCCTCTTTGCCCACACTTGTCTGTACAGGTCTCAAGGGGACCTGTAGGGGAAAGTACTGGGCTTCAAATACAGGCAGACCGGGTTGTGATGTCCAGCTGTGCAAAGTATCGGCCCTGAGACTTCTCTGTGACCTCACTGGGCCTCAGGGTCTTCATTTGTAAAATGGAAAATGCTAATGTCTATTACGTCACATGAAATAACATACGTAAAGCACCTAGTATGTGGAAGACTCAAAAATTATGAGTTCTCTCTTTCTTTCGGAATTTCTCATGCCCTGTAAGCCTCTCTTTGAGAGTCTCTCTCTGTGTCTCTATGTTTGTAGATTTGAGAAAGCAAAGAAAAGCTGTCTTCCTTTAGCCACCTTCTCGCCATCGCCTCTTCTTGGTTTGGGACCAGAGAAAACATACTGAGTCCTTGCCAGGCAGTTTGTCACAACACATTTCTACTTCTCTTGAAAGGAGAAATTGGTTTCATTCATGTTGGTATTATACCTCAGCTGATTTTTGAGTAAAATGAAATTAATATTTAATTATTAGCCATGGCTCTCAGCTCTAACATACAGGTGTAGAAAGAAATTTCTGTTAAAATCAACTATGTATAACAGAGTAGAATGATATATTCAGCTGATATCTGAATATAACTTTCTAAAACAAATATCAAACAAAATTAACAAGGATTTTGAACACAGCTATAAAGTGAACTGGTTAAGAAGTTGAAAGAGGATTACAATAACTGGTTAGGTGAGGCAATCTGTAGTCACCCCAAATTAGGAGGCCCCAGTGTGATCAGAAGCACTCACCTTCTCCACTTGGCCTAAGCTGGTTACTTAGCTCAGGGACAAGTTGTTCTCCACAGGCTCCCTCAGGCCGATCCCCTTCACCTCTGGCACTCTGTTTGTTCCAGTAGGACTCCTGCCTCTCCAAGGAGGCAGAGGGCAATCCACCAGAACCCTCAGTAGGGAAGGAGGCAGGGGACTTGAGGTCCAAGAGGAAGCTATCTTGTAGGGTTTGCTTGGTGGCCTTCTTGCGTTTCCTCTTCTGACTCTCCGGGATCCCGTCACTCTCTCTTCGCCTGGGCTGGCTACTCTCAAGCTTCCTGGTTAGCTGGAGGAGCTGATCCATGTCTTTGGTGAATTCTAGCAGAGTGCCTTCAGAGAGGCTCTGGGAAGTGCCCTCAGAGCCATAGTTGGAAGCCTTCTCCAAGAGCAGATGCTCAGAGCAGTGGAGAGCTTCCGTGCCCTCCTTGTGCCCTGACTCAGGCACCTGCGGGAGGCTGCAGGGACCCACGGACAGGGAGAAGTAAGAGTAGTCCACCGCGATGTATGTCAGCATGAAGTTGATGGTGACGATGGGGGCCAGCACATTCACCTGACCCACGAGGACAAAGGCCATGGTCACCAAGCTGGTCAGGCAGATGGAAGCTACAGGTGTTTTATTTGGCCCTTTCTGCAGAAGCAAAAATAACAGCAGGACTATGAAATTTCAGAAGAAAATCACATTATATGATAGAAACACAACTCGTAATGGCTCAGCCACTTCTACCATGTGCTTCTTGGTGTGTTAATAACTGTTTGTCTACAAACTTGGGATAATAATATCCAACTCATGGGGTTACTGTGAGATCAGAGTTAATGCATATAAAATGCTTGACACGGCACTGACACACAGTAGGCTCCCAACACACCATGAGTATTAGTTGTATTAGTAACTATTAATATGGGGCATTACTATAGAACTTGGACTTCCCAAATACTTCTCCTTTTGTCTTTCATTGGGTTTTAACACCAGCGTTGGACATCAAAGAGATGCAAAGTTGATTCTTCCCAGGCTGTAATGGAAAAAATGACCTTAAGGGGAGTAGCAGACTCTGGAAGACATAGCAGACTCACTGGTGGCTGAGGTGGGGGAATTCTGATACTAAACATACACACATGCACACGCCCACACACACACATTTATACATATCTGTTATTAATGGAGGCAGTATGGTGACCTTCAGGAGAACAGGAGTGGAAAAAATTTGCTAACTCGATATAATCTGTCACTCCACAGAAGCTATACATCAGTCACTGACAATTCTTGGGCCAAAAGCAATAGTCCCTTCTCAGTCTTCATCTTCCTTGACCTAAGAACTACATTTGACCCAGATGATCCTCGCTGGTGTTTGAAAGACCTTCTTCACCTAGCTTCTCCTGATTTGTCTCCCCACTCATTGACTGCTCCTTCTTAGTCTCCCTTGCTGGCTCCTCTACTTCTCTGAAATGTATACTTCAAGCAGCCCAGGGCTCCATCCTCAGACCGCTTCTCTTCTCTATCTATACTCCCTTCCTAGGTGCTCTCAACCAGGCTCATGGTTTTAAATACCATCTTTATGCTCTCAATTCCCAAAATTGAATCTCCAGCCTGAAATGTTCCCCTGAAACTCAGAATTAAATATTCAACTGTCTACTCAACATTTCCCAGTTGATGTCTAATAGGATCTCAAATCTATTACGGCCAAAACCAAATTGCTGATCCTCCTAATCTCTCAACCCTCAAATCTACTCCTTCTGTAGTCTCCATGTCATAAAATGGCAACTCCATCCTTCCAGTTGCTCAATCAAGCAAAATTCTCGATGCCTTTTCTCATTCTCTCATTCTCCATTGGCAAATATTGTCAGCTTTGCCCTCAGGAGATACACAGGATCTAACCCCTGCTCCCACCTCCTTGACTGCCAGCACTCTGGAATATGAGGGCAAGCATATAAACCACTTTCAGATCTGACCTGTAAACCTCCCACGTGTATTCTTCCAGGTGTGTTCCCCCTTACTGAGGGTTGGAATAGAAAGAAACCTTTGAAGTTTCAGGATGAAGATAGTAAAGTCATCATCAGCCTGAGTCTCTGAGGATTAGAACTCCTATTGACCTGAAACACCTTACCTAGAACTTTAGAGTAAAATTATTCAGAAAAAAAAAAAGGAGTAAAAGTACATTTTTACTGTTTTTGAGAATTACATTTTGGGGTATATTTGCTACAGCTGTTTAGCATATTCTAACAATAAAACTACTAAGAATAAAGTATATCTTCAGAAATTAAAGAGAACTTAGAAGAAGGGTCTTAGGTAAGCTGAGGGAAACGCTAGTGGTCCAGGCCAGGACTTTGATAAGGGTGGGTTGAAAAGTGATAAAATAGTCACATATGAACTTCTGTCACCAAAAGATAACATAAAGAAATGAAAATACAAGCTAAAGAATGGGAAAAGATATTTGCAACACATATAACTGACAAAGGGTAACCCAGAATATACAAAGAATCCCTACAAAATAATTAGAAGACAGACAATCCACTAAAAAAAATGAGCAAAAGAATGCCTATTAAATATATGAAAGATGCCCAACCTCATTAAGTAATCAGAGAAATGCAAATTAAAACCATAGTGAGATACCATTAAACACCCACCAGATTAGCAAAAATTTAAAAGTCTGATAATATCAAGTATTGGCAAGAACACAGAGGAAAGGGAATGCTTATCCACTGCTGATAGGAGTGTAAATTAGCACAACTACTTTGGAAAATGAGTTTGGTGTTATCTAGGAGGTGAATATACACAGTCACCCCTTGGTATCCACGGAGGAGTGGTTCCAGGACCCCCATAAATACCGAAATGCACGGATGCTCAAGTCCCTTACATAAAATGATGTAATATTTGCATATAATCTTTGCACACCTTTCTGTATAATTTAAATTGTCTCTACAGGGCTGGCCCTGTGGCTTGGTGGTTAAGTGCGCGCGCTGAGATGCTGGTGGCCTGGGTTCGGATCCCGGGTGCGCATCGAGGCACCACTTCTCCGTTCATCCTGAGGCCGAGTCCCGCATACAGCAACTAGAAGGATGTGCAGCTACGACATACAACTGTCCACTGGGGCTTTGGGGGGAAAAAATAAAATAAATAAAATCTTAAATTGTCTCTACATTACTTATAATACCTAATACAATGTAAATGCTACGTAAATAGTTGTTATACTGTAGTGTTTAGGGAATAATGACAAGAAAAAAAGTCTGTATATGGTCAATACAGACGCAACAATTGAGGGCCTTTTGATCCCCAGTTGGTTGAATCTGTGGAGGCAGAACCCGCAGGCAACGGCGGGCTCACTGTACATTCCTTACAATTTAGCAATTCCACTAATGGGTATATAGTCTGGAAGAACTCTGCATGTGCACCAGTTTACAAGTACAAGAATGTTCTTTGCACGGTCTGTAATAGTCCCAAATTGGAAACAACCCAAATGTCCATCAACAGCAGAATGAATAAATAAATTGTAGCAAATGAGTTAATGCTACATAGGAATGATAATAAACAAGCTACTGCTGCAGGCAAAAATGTGGATGAATGTCATAGACGTAATGTTGAGTGAAAGAAGCATGCCACATTTATATAAAGTTAAAAAAAACAGGCAAAATTAAACTTTTGTTTAGAGATGCACATGTAGGATGCAAACCAGGGGTTGGCAAACAATGGCCCTGGGCCCAATGTGGCCACCATCTGTTTATGGATGCCCACGAGCTAAGAATGGGTTTACATGTTTAAACAGTCAGAAAAAAAAAAGAAGAATATTTCGTGACACATGAAAATTACATGAAATTCAAATTTCAGTGCCCATAAATAAAGCTTTATTGGAAGACAGCCACGCCTATCCCATTAGGTATTGTCTGTGGCTACTTTTGAGCAACAACTGCAGAGCTGAATATTTGTGACAAAGACCATAGGGCCTGCAAAGCCTAAAATATGTACTATTTGGCCCTTTTCAGAAAAAGTTTGCCGACTCCTGAGTAAAGCCATAAAGAAAGCAAGGAAATTGTTATCACAGAAGTCAGGATAGCAGCTACAGCTCCCAGAGCGAGAGGGACGGGGCTCTGACCAGAGAGGGAGTGTGGAGGGTAGCATCTGGGGATGGGCAGTGTTCTTGGCTGGAGGTTACAGGGACATTCACTTCACAGTTATTCTCTAAACTGTTCATATTGGCTTTACACCCTTTTCTGTATGTTGAATATATCTCAAAAATTTTTTTTTAAGTTTCTTCTCTTAAAAAAGAAAATGCGTTAATCGCTGCAGCAGGCGTCCCACATAAAGGAGAGGAAGGTGGGCACGGATGTTAGCCCAGGGCCAATCTTAGCCAGCAAAAAAGAGGAGGATTGACAACAAGGGTTAGCTCAGGGCTAATCTTTCTCATACACACAATGTAAAGAAGGTTTGGAAAAAAGAAATTTGCAAAGTTAAAAGGTGAGTGACAAACTAGAGAAAATATTTGTAACACGTATCACAAAGAGTTAATCTCCCCAACAAAAAAGGAGCTTCTAGAAATTGAGAGAAAAAGCCCAACAATCATATAAAAAAAAAAATACGAACAACTCTTAGAGGAAAAGATGTTTAACCTCATTCATAATAAGAGTAAGCAAATCACAAGTATCCTAAGATGCCATTTCTCACTACACAATTGGCAAAAATTCACATTTGACAATGAGCTGTGGACAAGCTCACTGCTAACACCGTGGTCATGCGCATTGCTGACACTGTGGACAAGCTCACTGCTGACACTGTGGACACGCGCATTGCTGACACTGTGGACAAGCTCACTGCTGACACCGTGGACA